GACGGACTCTGGTTAGGAGCTGGGAGCCCCAACTTCCAGTCTGATCCACCTTTTAATTCTCTCTGGCTGGGACTGAGTGCCTTCCCAGGGCCTCAGTTTCCTCAGCTGAACCCTGGAAGGGAGTTAGTGTCTCTGAAGTGCCCCTGGAGGTATGGGACTATGCATTTCTAGAATTCTCAGATCCCCCTTAAAAGGAAAAAACATGACCCCCCGGATGATGTTTCTGTAGATGAGTTCCCTATCTGCATGAGATGTCAATTACATCAGACTTCTCCCCTTCCTTCTCTTTCACCTTGTTTTAGAAGTCCAAGGAAAATTCCCAAGTTTTCTGCATACAAAGGAAGCAGCAAACTTCATCACTTAGCTTAACTGAAGCCCATTTTAGCGTCGCGCACCCCTCTCCTTCCCAATCCCACCCCTCAGGTTTCATTTACCATCAGTGGGGTGGCCAAGTCTACCCCAGAATCAGCTACTGCCAGCTCGTTGTGTGGATGTAAAGCTGACTCATGTTCTCTGACCTTGAGCTTAAGTGAGAAAGAAAAAAAATTTTTTTTCACAGTGAAGAAGGTACTTTTATGTCAATTATTTTATTAGATCCCATTGCAACTTTATGAGGTTACCCATGAATGAGAACTTGGAGGTTCAAAAACATGAAGTGCCTCGGAGAGGGCAGGTCAGACCTGGGGGAACCAGATTCCTGGGCTCCTGAGTTCCATGGTTTTTTTTTTAAATAGCTTCCTTCCTCTAGAGATGATCAAGAAAGCAGCTAAGATGCAGGGCAGGCAGCAGATAGATGCTCTGGGAGCACCGCGAAGGGAGGTTGATCTTAGGTGTACAGCACCATGATTCGGCATTTATTGTCCTTATGATGTGATTGTCATGGTATGTTTAATAACCACCTGTCACCATAAAAAGTTATTACGATAATATTGGCTATTTTACCTATGCTCTACATTACATCCCTGTGACTTATTTTTTTTTTTTTATAACTGGAGGTTTGTACCTTTTATTCCCCTTCACCTTTTCCACCCATCTTCCCTCTTGTTTCTCTCTCCTCTGGCAACCATCAGTTTGCTTTATCTAGACGTCAAAAAAAAAATCACTACTTGTTAGAAAAAAATATATATGCTTTTAAAAAGTTCTGGAAGACTGGAACGGGAGCACAGCTTAGGCCCTCCTTAAAGCCTGTTATTACATTAAATATGAACGAAAGCCTCAAGATGGAGAAAACTGAATCATGGACTTTTGAGAATCAGCCTCCAAATGGAAAAATATCTCTATGATTTTAAGAGTAAAACAAACCAAAACCATAAAAAAAAGGGTTAAGGTGGCAAATTATGTGTATTTTACCACAATTAAAAAAAATAGAAGAGAGGTTAAGCCCAGAAAGTTCTTCTCTGTCAAGGGCAACACCTGTCCCATAGTTATGTTTTTATCTACAGAGCTTGTACAGAGCCTGAAACAAGAGAACCTCATAACATTTGTTGAATGATGAGCACATGGGGGTGTGGGGGGTGGGAGTGGCCCTCAGGAACAAGCACCACTGAGCCGGGCTGTGAACACCTGGCTCTCAGGGGCAGAGAGGGCCTCTCTATTCCCAGGGGAACTATGCACAGGAAATGGGGCCTCTGGGGGTGGAAAGGGATTCTGTGTGCCTAGAGGATTGGGATTCAGAAAGGAAAATGAAGGAAGGGCCAGATTATAGTGGTGGAGATATGTTAAGTGTTTAAATGAGAAATCTGAACACTGTTCTTTAGGCAATGGAGACCCTGACTTGATTTGTTTTGAGTGAAGTAATGACTCACTCATGTGAACAAATGAATGACCACAGAAATCGAGGATCTAAGTGGGCAAGTGGACAGTGTGCTGCCAGGACTCTCAAAACTCACACTCCACTGAGGCTACTACTCCACTGACTATTTTTGTTTGCCATGTTTGTTTGCTGACTCATTTTTGCAAATAGCCGGAGAGCCCCTTTCTCCTGGCTGCTGTTGTGTCCTGTTGTTCAGTACATTTGCTTATGAGTAGGGTGCCCAGTGCTTCTTGGTTTGCCTGAAATGTTCCTGGTTTTAGCTCTAAAAGTCCTGCTTCCTGGGAAACCACTTATCCCTGGATAAATTTACTGTGCACCCGGGGACAGCTCCGAAATCTACTGACCTCATGGTTTTCTGCTACCCAAAACAGCTCCTCAGGCATTGTTCCAGCACAATCCACTCAGTTGTTCAAGCCAGAAACACAGGAGTGTCACAGGACCCTCTCTCTGACTCATCCCACCCCCAGCCAGCCACTTCTTGAGGACCTCTCAGACCTATACCCCCTTTCCTTGTTCTACTGCCACTATCTCAGACCAAGCCACTGTCATCCCTTTCATAAATTTTTATAACAGAATCGTAATTTGGCCTCTGGCTGCTCTTACAAGTAATTTTTACCATAATTAGACTGATGTCTTAAAAATATAAATCCAGTCCTATACCTATGCTGTTTGGTAACTCCCACTGGTTTATATCCAAACTCCTTGACCCAACTCACAAGGTCCATCACATATGAGCCACGACTGCATTTGCAGGCCGTCCATCGATGCTCTCCCATTCCCTCACATTGCAGAGGTGTCAGGGGGGCAGGAGTTGAAGGGTGAAAGCTTTCCCAATCATTAATAATGTGAATTCTAGAACATAACTTTTCTTCCCATTGGAGGTTAGTTATGATTTATGATACGCTACCAGCTCCCACCTCCCCAAAGGGAGAGGTTTTATTGATCTGATGGGATTCATTAGGCCACGTTTCACCAGTGGGCAGTGTGTCTTCGTTAAAGTGGTTCCCACTTGGCATTCTGACACCTCTTATGTCACCCGTGCTCGTCTTCCTAACTGCAAAGTCACTCATTTGCATCAGAGCTCTCTCTCTTTCCCTTTCTTTCTTTCCAGGCCTCAGGCGTACCTGAGGACACACATCTAAAGTGCTAGATTCAGAGACCAAAGTCCAAACTGAACCTCAAGCCTAAACCACAGTTTCTCATCCGGGCTTCACCAAGGTTTTGTTGTGTTACCACATGCTTGTCTGGTTACTAATGAAGCTTTACTTTCCCAGCTGGCCATTACGCTGTGTGTTCAAGCCACATGTCAGACCCTGGGGGTGAACGCAGGATCCTGAAACCCTAAGAGCCTCTACATATGCTTTGAGGTTCAGCTTAAATATAATTTTTTTTTAAGATTTTTTTATTGGGGAATTGGGGGGATGGGAACAGTGCTGGGGGAATTGGGGGGAGGGGAACAGACTTGGGGAATCGGGGAAGGGGAACACACAGGTAGACAAATTGCTGTTTTGGTTTTTTTTGTTCTTCAATCTAGTTGTGGAGGATGTTGCTTCACTGGCCCAAGTTGGCACCATCATTGCGCTCTTCTCTGGCGAGGCAGATCAGTCGCCGGCTTCTGGACAGCCGCTCACTGCGGCTGCTGGCCGCTCACGCTGGCTGCTGGCCGCTCACGCTGGCTGCTGGCTACACACGGTAGCCCATGGCAACCCACTGCCACAGGGACTGCAGCCTACGCCGTCGCCGGCGACTCATGGCAGCCCAGCTCCAGGTTGAGCTGTTGTTCAGCATCTTAGCTGTGGAGGGCAGTGTCACTGGCCCTCATATGTGGGATCCGAACCGGGGCCCTCTGGCATCCCAAGCGAGTTCTTAACCATCGTGCCACTCGGCCGGCCCTAAATGTAATTTTTTATTATTCCATCCATGAACCTCACTGTTAGAGCTTCTGACTGTCTTCTACACAACAGCTGTAATTCCTTCTTCAAAGCCTCTTCCCCTCTTCCCCTTGTTCCGTGAGGGCAAGGATCACCACAGCCTCATTTACTTCTGTCCCATCAGTTAAGGCAGTCAGTGTCTGTTGGGACTCAGCAAACATTTGTCACGTTAATGCAGGACACAACTTCTGCCCTATCTTTCAGTTCTGCTGGAGGGTCGGTTAAGAGTTAAACTTAAAGAAGAGAAGGAATGTGAAAGGACTTTGGAAGTCTAATAAGCTACATGCCTAGACATGGAAACTTACGAGTATTTTCAAAGGCTGTTTGTAGACCAACACTTGCCCTCACCAGGCCCGCCCCATTGGGCAGAAACAGTCCCTCACTTGCCCAACGTTTATCATTGTTTTGGTCCAGAATAACCGATCGTAGAGCTTCCCTGATGTTGCAGAATTAACACAGGCTTGTGTTGTGCTTTGACCAACTTTGCCCTGTGTAACTATAGAGATAGCCTACATCTCAGATTCTAAGCCCAGAATAACTCTGCTTTCATTAGAATGTGAAAGGGTCTCTCTCTCTCTCTCTCTCTCTCTCTCTCTCTCTCTCTCTCTCTCTCTCTCTCTCTCTCTCTCGTTGACAGCACACAGGTAAATTAACATTAAGAGCTATAATACAATGTGTGTACAGCCTGTTTTAGGAGCCAACAGGAGGCAGCCATTGACTTTGCCTCAATCCGGGGCAGTGGCAGGGAAGGCATCAAGGAAGTTCACTTTCAAGTCCACCTTGAAGGATGAGTTTGCCAGCGAGAAAGTTTGGGGATGGGGCTGCCTCCTGGCCCTGCTGCTGAGAGAGATACTCCTTAAGTGTGATTTCAATAGATAATAGAGTGAACTGATACAATCACTCTTTGAGTGGTTTATCTTTTCTTTAGATGTTTTTCTGTTTTTCTTCTTTGTCTCAGTTTCTCTCCATGAAAGGCCTAGGTACCTCAAGAATAAACTAGTGTCTTAAAAAGGAAAAGGTGTTGGCTTAGGAGCTAGAGAATCTGGTTCTAACTGGGTGACTTTAGGCAAATTACTTCCTCTGCCAGCCTCTGCTTCCTTATTTGTGACAAACGACTGAGACACCCTTGTGTGCAGTATTGATGTTATTGGAATAAAATGCATTATCAGGAGGGGCTGGGGCAGGATATAGGGGACAGGAAGTGACAAGGCCACCATTACGCGGTGCCATAAACGTAACGGCAGTCTGGAGCTCGGCAGCGACAGGAGCACAGAGGAGAAGCCATGGTTTCTGCCTTCCTCGACGGAGGGCAGTCAGGGGAGGCCAGTCACGCCTGAATGAGGCAGGAAACAGGTCTCGTCAGCAGAGCAGGTGCACAGGGAGGAGAGTGTAGATGGGAGGTGGCCTTCCTGAGGCACTCAAGGGGAAAGGTGTGGCTGGTAAAGACAGCAGCCTGTGGGCAGCTCGGGGCAGGAGGAGCCCGAGGGCATTTAGGGTACCACAGCGACCCTGCTCTGTGTGGCCGGCGTGTAAGGTAGGAGAGGGGAGTGTTGGACCTGATGATCCCCACCAAGGGAATCGGACTTGCGTGGGGGAGAATTCTTATGAATTTCAAACCCCAAGAATGACATGGTCAGCTTTGTGTCCCCACCGTTGCCTGCAGGCTGCCGTGAGTGTGAGAGAGGATCTGTTCAGCCAGGGAGAGAGGGGAGCAGGTTGGCCTGGCCTGGCCGAGATATGCTCCATGGTCAGGAGAGGAAATAGAAAATGTAATTAACGTGTCTGCCACCAGACATGAGAGCTAAATCTATTACTCTCTTCCTCCCATTTTTATTATGAATTACTGTGTTTCAATTATGATTTTGAAAGTATTTCCTTGAGGAAATATGTCAGGGTTCCGCAATGGGAAAGAAGGAAATGGAGCCATGAAAGTTTAATTTATGGCAGTGACTGCATTTTAAAAGAAAGAAAGAGAATAGAAAGGCAGGAAAATTGAGAGTCGTGCTGACTGGGTCACCTGCTCTGAGCAAAGGAAGCCCAAGGTGTCTGAGTGTTTACAGAGTCACTTTATGGCCTGTGATGAAGGAAGAAGCACAGGCAGCACTATCGGTCAGGCCAAGTTCACATTTCACCCTCCAGGCTCCCATCGGCCTGCTCCGTTGCTCCCGGAAGACACCTCAAGGAAAGGAAGATGCCTGGTCTGATGGAGAATGATGGTCTGGCTCTAGCGCCATGCTGGACACTGGGGTGGAGGTGCATGAATGAGTAAGACCTCTGCCCTCAAAAAGCTTGAAGTCTAGTGTTGAAGGGGCAGGAGGCTCATAGAATGCGAAAGGAAGTGTGGATAAAAGACCTTCTACTTCAGGCTGGAAGAGCAAGACTACACTAACCTGTAAGTGGGGACCCAAGCAAGTGAAATAAAGGGGTTGCCAGCTCTGATTCATGTTCGTCAACAATTCTCCCAGGGTCTTTAGAAAGGATGGATGCATTCAAGTTCATTCATTTATAGATCCGCTCAACACATTCCTGGGAATTTAATCAAGAATAAAGCCAGGCCTTATCCCTGAGGACTGCACGGGCTACAGGGCACAATGGACATACCAGCAATTACCAAACAGAGAAATCAGAACTAAGACAGTGAGATGCGTAAGGTGTTACAGGATCTCAGTCTCAGAGCAGAGAGTCCTCCAAGATCAAATTTCCAAGAGGAAGAAAGCTTTGAAGTGAGTCTTAAAAGAGAGTGGAGTCTTCCCAGTGAATGGATGAACAATGTGGGGCAGAGAAGGTGTCCCAACAAAAGCCACAGCCCATACCAAGCAAGGTAGGGGGACAGAAAGCAGAGTGGTGATTTCAGGGAGCCCAGGATTGGTGTGGGGATGACAGGAGAGAATATTAAAGAGTCACACTTTACAGGGGCCAGGTTCACTACAGGATGGACTGTGCCAAGGAGCTTGGCTTTTATCTTGGTGACATTGGGGAACTCATGGGTGCTTTTAAGCATGAGGATGACATTGGGGTCCCTGGAAGACCACTGGGGAAGCTCAGGGGATCATGGCCAGGAAGAGAGATGGACATCATGGCGCTCTGGTGAGAACCCACAACAGTCATATGAGAGAGACAGCGAGGGCTGAGCAGAAGCGGTAAGGGGGCAGCCCAATGACAGGACATTCAGGGGGACCTGCCAAGAGCACCAGGAAGTAAGCTGACAGATGCTGAACACAAATCAGTGGGAACTTCTCTCTGGAGACATATTCTGCCACAATCAACACTTTGGGGTTAAAGCCTAGGAAACAATAGGATCTGGAGGTGGTGGTGGGAGGGGGAAACATTTTTATTTCTTAATTAGAAGCTGTTTCATAATTACCTCAATCCCATCTGTTTTCGGTTTTAGGTATTGATCTTATTTGATCCCTGAAACAATGCTTCTCTCTTAGAGATGTGGAGGCTAAGCCTCAGGGAAGTCCAAGGGTTTGATGGAGGTTTTGCAGGAAGTTGTGGAGACGGAACTAGCGCTCACTTCTTTCTCCAGAGCCAAGAGAGATTCCTCCCCTCACTCCCTTCCTTCTTCTCTGCCTCTGTCTCTCTCAGCACCATCAGGCTGATGCTAAGCTTTGAAGACAAGGAGCTCTGCAAGGCAAGGGCCTGGGCACAGGGAACCCCCTGCCTGATGGAAGACAGACATCTGAACAGGCTACTGTGGAAGGTGGCTGTGACAGGGGCACATTCTCATGTCAGTCTATAGAGGGAGGAACACCTACCTCTGTCAGGGGACTCAGGTGAGGCTTTGGGAAGGAGGTGACATTTGCGGGAGGGTGAATGGGGATTCTCTGGTTGCAGAAGGCTTGCCTAACCTCAGAGCTTCGCCACCAAAGTTAATTAGTGGAAGAATCTACCTTGATCCATGATAAGTCACACTGCAGTTCCCTTTTATTTGCAGCTAGTTTGTTGATTTGCTGGCTAAGTCTTTTCCTGGCGACCTCCTCTGCGTTTTTTGCAGATGTACTTCCCTCTGACCACTGGACCTTGCCCAAAAATGTCATATCTCTGAGTCCACATGTGTCCCTGCACAAGGCCAATGGAAACAGGTGGGTGTGCCAAGTGGTGTGACCTGGAATCCTTGAGCTTTTCTGCACCCAGCCTTCGGGGGCTGGAGGTAATGACCTTTAATATGAGCACTCATGTCACCCGAGTAAATTCCGGTCCTCTCCTGAGCAGCAGCAGGAGGGGGCGACTCCCTGTTCACGGCGGACGCTGGCCAGCATTGTGAAAGGATGCAGATGAATAATTAAGTCACTGTTTACAAGAAATTCTAATCTTAGGGCAGTTCAAGGTAAAGACAGACACCAGCCAGGAACCGCCAAGAACAACACTGTCAGAACACATGGAGACAGAGGCCTCCGGCCAGACACTGTTTTTTCTCTAAACATTGTCGCCAAAAAACTCAGTCAGAAAGCCTCTCTGTCTCCTGGGCACCTCCAGCATCTCAGTAATAATAGTAGTAAAAATAATTAGCTGTAATATCAGATTGCCTACTATGTGCTACACATTTGTTTATTTTATTTTATTTTAAGTCTCACTCCCTCCCCCCAAAAGAAAGATCTAAGTAGCTATTATTATGAAAAAGGAAACAGAGAGGTTGAATAATTGGTTGAAACCACACAGTTAATAAGTAAAAGGTTTTCCTGAATTTCTGCACTATTAATAGCTGAATGCATCTCAAGTATTTGAGGCTAAGGGAGATCCTTTTTAAATACCTAAAAAATAAAGCCCAGCTTCTCCCAAAAACTACACCTGTGCACATGCAAAGTTGTATGTAAAATTTAAGGACATTCATAGACTTTTTTTTTTTTTTGATAATCGCCTGTGTACTTCAGATTAAGACACCTCGATGAGACTTTTTTGTGAATTGATTTAGGATTATAGTTGCAAACCTGAGGTCGTCATTCACGGCAGGGCACTACGATATGCCTTTGCTCCTCTCCTACAACCCGTCCGCTTTCTGTCCCATTCACTCCGAGCACAGAAAGAGGACCTGCTGGTCAACCCCCACCGTGCAGGGCACACAGAGATTCAGAGAAGGGACAGAGCCAGCCGTCCCTGATAATTCTTCAAGGTCGCTGGAGCTGCACGTCTCATTAATAGTTGGCATAGTTGGGACATCTCACCTCACACAGTAAGTATGATATCGAAGACATAATAATTATCATTCTGCCCATTTTAAAGGTGAGAAAATTACACGCCAACATGGATATCACCTAGAATGCATCTGGCTGGAAAAGACAGAACACTCAACTCCTGCTGATATAAACAACAGTGGGAGCTGGAAAGGCAGAGGTAGGCAGGGCTGCTAGAGAACACTGACCCAGTGGCTCTACGGAGTCACCGAGGACCCCGCTTTTACCTATCTGTTCACATTGTCACTTATCCCATCAGCTTCACCTTCACCGTGGCCTCCTTCATGCTTTCAGGAAGGTCACTGGCGCCTGCCCAGACCATGTGCTAAAGTCTACCTCCTGTGTCTCCACAAGGACCTCAAGAGTTACTCTGACGGACCCCGTTAGGTCAACGCCTGGCCCTGAGCTAATCACTGCTCCATTCCCAAGTCTACCTTACATTCTTTATTATCAGCATTTGTTTTGCAAGTATTTACTGAGGGCCTTTTCTGCCAGCAGCTCTTCTATGTGGTGAGAATACACTGTTGAACGAAGCCTACCAAGCACTGTCTATACCATGCACTGTATATAATAATAAGACAAATAGATTAGGTAGATAGGCAGGTGGATAATTATATGTACAGAAACATAAGAATGGCTACGGTTTATGGAGAAATAAATGCTCGGACCCAGACATTACACCAGATGATTTTAACTTGCATTTTTTTTTTTAAGATTTTT